TGTTAATCCGAGTACTGTACTTCATTTGTAATAAGTCTTTGTGATAAGGTTAACGCTTCAACACATAACACAAATAAGGGAACACCAAAAAATGAAAATTACTTTGCTTATGTTTCCGTATTAGAATTTTATTTGCTAAAGGGTAAAAACAGATTTGCAAAATTCACAGTTAACTTAAAACAATGGTTTTAAACCTTTTATTCCTAGCCCTTACTGCCTTCAGGAAGGAGAGAACATCTGGTTATTTAAGGAACACAATATGTTCACATTTTCTATGACTTTTGTTTCTAATTGGGTTTTAAAATTTTTTTGAATTTGAACAACTACTTAGAACAATGTTTTTTAATCACTTCATATTTTTCAGACTGTCCTTCTATCTCTCTACTTATTTAGTGGATTGTTTTTGGAAATCTGCTCAGCGGTTCTAATATGAAGATAAGAAAAGGAGAATTAGGATTGTGGTCTGATGAGTTAAGAATGGAGACCATATTTATTGTGAATAGAGCATAGGGTACTACAAGCTGATATTGCACATTCAGTCTCTACATATAGCATATATTTAAAAAATTCAAATAGTTTTTGGGCCACTTATACACATGGCAGTTTCATTTATTACAGATGCAAATAAATGTCTAATACAAATGAAGAATTTGGGTGAGTAACAGCAGTAACTAGGATTTCACGGTTTTTAAAACTAATGAAACTACAGTTCCTGTGTGGAAAGGTGGTCAGAAGACCTGCGTTCAATTGCTGACTCTGCCACTAATGAGCTATGTGACCTCAAATATGAAGGGGAATCCCCAAAAACTTTCCTCTTCTAGGTGGCAGGACCCTTGTAGTACAGGCTCCCTGCCGTAGGTGAGTGTTCTAAGAACCCATCTGTATCAGTGTACCAGCTGGCATTGCTGTGAGAGGCTGTGTTCGGCTTCAGTGAATTTTTTTTGAAGACTCTTTCAACACATTCGCCCATTTCATGATGGGTGATTTATGAGCGCACCTGCCCACACTGCACTGAGTGCTGAGCAGATTTTTACGAAAAACAGCATGAACCTCATGCCCTGCCCTCCTTATTCACCCGATCTCACTCCCAGAGACTTTTTATTTTTTTGTTTCTCGGATGAAAAAAAGACCTCAAAGGGGAACACTTTGCCAGTGTGGAAGAGGTGAAACAAAAAATGGCAGAAGCACTAAAAGGTATCAAAATCGATGAGTTCAAAGACTGTTTTGAGTGGTGGAAAAAAATGTCTCAATAGGGGTATTCATCAAATGGAAAGTACTCTGAAGATGACAAAGCTTAAACATGTAAGAATAAATACACAATTTTTTATAAATAAATTTTGGTTTTTTTGGGGTCCCCCTTTAAACTTCACCTTGATCCTCAGAGTGCTCATCTACAAAACGGGGCGCTGGATTAGACTCTAGGTTCTTTGCAGTTCCAAAAAATCTGACAGTCCAAGTAAAGTATGTTAACTACTTTCTTTGTTATGTTTTTCTTGTTCCATAATATTTGAAGGTGGTAACAAGTTTTCAAATAATTCTGACACTTAGTAAATTAAGGAACTAGATGCCCTTATTTAAGTTCAAGTTATAGGGTTAGTTCACCATCTTGATAAAATGGCAGCGGACAAATATATAATTGGCTACAGTTTCCAGAAATACCGGAGGTGAATGAGATACACCTAGATTAGAATCAGAATGGTGTATTGAATGAGGCTTAGCATTTGAGTCAGAATTCAAGTCTATGCCTACTTTCTTAAAGTAAGCATTGCAGAACACAAAGTTAAATACAAAATAAAAATGAGCAGCATCATAAGGAAAAATAATTGAAAAAAATCAATAAGCAAATAGGTAAAACACAAGGTCTTGTGGGGACCCAAAGGGGAGAACATGTCCTGTCTGAGCCTGAGAATGGTATCCTGGAAAAGGTAGAATGGACGGTGGGAATCTCAGCAGATAATGAGTAGATACAAGGTCATAGAGCCGCTCTGGCTACCTTGGAAGCTTACACGCTTTTTGGCCTTGGGAAAGCTGTGTAATCTTAACCTCGCTGCACTGAAAAACAATATGGAAAGATAACCTAGTCTGCCTACCTCCTCGCTTGCTGTGAGGACCAAATTAAGCTCAAATTAAGTGCTTGGGGAACTGTGAAGGAATACGGTCCTATTATTACAGTTTACAGGGCCCTACTGCAGTCTGTTCAAATGAGAAATCTTTCACAGTAAAGCCTACCTCATGTCTGACATAAAACAACTAAAGCCCAGTGTCTCAAGCTCTACTTGCTATGTCTATTCTCAACTCAGCAACTCCACTGGGATTTAGGGATAGCAATAGGGCAAAATGCTTTTCTGAACACCGACAATGAAGCCCTAAGCTCAGAGTTCATTTATTTTTGTTATTGAGTCCGTCAGCAGCACTCAACAGGACTGTCATGTGAAGCTGGGATATGAAAAGTATACTTTCATGTCTCAGATCTCATCTTTCTACTAGTTTATTTCATAGAGACTTGTGTGTTTACATACTTATTCTGATCTACTTGAATCAGGGATGATTGGAGTATTTTAAGTGTTTCGATGTTGCTAATAATAGAAAACATTCAAAGCACTCTGTTGTTCGAATATTTAGAGGCTACGAGTGAGGTACTAGTGTCACGTTTCTCCCTATTTCCCCCCCCTCAGCATAAATGGCCTCCTTTATGATTTTACACTAGACATTAACTACACTCTAAACTCTAAACTCACTTGTGGATTTCTATAGTATATATAAACTTGCTTTTTGTTCTTGTATCTTTGTAGCACTGGACTATTAGAAGTCAGTTCTTTACGGACAAAGGATGCTCTGGTAGGGCGGGTCAATGGAGACAATTAATTTCAACCACAGAAGAGAAGACCAAGACTCAGCAAGCACGAGTTTTCCAAAATCACGAGGGGTGGTGGCAACATCAAGATTTGACCTAATATTCCAATTCCCAATTCAGGCTCCTTGAAGAACACTATGCGGCAAGAGATCTACAATTAGGTGACCTTAGTTACCATTTGACATTTACTAAATAATGTCAGTGGGTCAGCCAAGATACACACTTAAACTGTCACCTTATTGAGTTAGCTGTCTGAAAGCCCCTTAATGCTATACATCTTTCTTCATTTTTCCTGTATCATCCATGAACCTGCTCTCAATAGTAAGTTAAACAGGTTTTCATGAGCATTTTAATCTACTCCTTTCTCCTGCCCAATTTCTTATGTCTCAGAAATATCGGCTTAAGGTTCTCTATTTTGGACCATTATCTTAATCATGTTTTTACTTGGTAAGGTCCTGAATGTAAAAGTAGGAGTTATTGTTTTTTTAGATATGCTATTAATTAATTTTTTCTCTTAAACCTTGGAAAATATTTTTTTGAATGCCTGTAGACTTGGCTTCATTATATTCATATATTATGTATACTACATTATTGAGATAAAAGTACTCTATTAAAATCACAGATTACACTAATAACATTGACAGATTTAGTATATAGAATTCTGCAATTAAAATAGTGAATGATTCATTATAAGATCAACCATAATTAGCTAGGGAAAAATTACCACGATCGATAGATTTAGATAACATATTCATTTCTTCCTTCAATTAAATGAAGCAAATCATATAAGTAGATAATTCAAATAGTTATTCTTGCAATTTTTCCCACTCTGTATCACTCTATGAATTTCTAATGCTGAGCTGACAGAATTTACCTTAAGTTTGCAGTCCAAAGCTCATTGACCAGCAACCTCATTATTTCTTTTATAGATATTTCATAATCTCAGTTTTTTGTAAAAAATGAAAATATATACTTATACCACTTACATATAACATATATAAAAAATAAAATCTGGGACTTTCAATTTTCATAGTCAGACTGTTTAATGTTACCACAAAAAAATTGCTATCTTATGTATCAGAGAAAACAATAGCCTATATTTCTGATATTCAATGAAATTTTGTGTTAAAAGAAATGATATACAATTGTGTATTTCTGCAGAAAATGGATATAGGTACAAGGAAATAAGCTATTTTAAATCAATCTAAGAATAAATAGAGAATATACTCAAATGTTGAAGTCAACAACTGAGGAAAGGGCAGAAATCCTTTTGAATCAAAATGTATGTTGAACGTGGAGGCCCCAGTTGATCAGACAGAGCTTTGGCAATGGAATCCACAGACAGACTGACTCAAAGACAGTTTGACAACTGCCAACAAGACTGTTGGGAGTTCTGCCAAAGAGCCAAAGGCTGGGATTACCACCCAATGCCTGGCATTCTCCTACTCGTGTTTGAAGCTTTCTCTCTTAAATTTCATCCAATATTTTTGTTTGGCTCAAACGCATCAAGAATTCACACATTTTTTTTAGATCATTAAATGTTCTTATTTTCAAGAAATATAACATTAGTTGTAAAAGAGCACACTTTTTCTCTGAAGTGTAAAGAAAATTTTGGTGACTTGTTTTAAGTTCAACTAGAGAAATCAGCATTATAGTCTGTTTAAATCTTTATTTTATTAGGTTATTCTTCACCCGCAAAATAAGAAATACATGTTCATAATACAGAGTATTTTAGGATTTCATTGTATCATAAACTGTTATAGAACTAGTCATTTTTTTATAGCTATGATATCTTGGTCTTCACATGGCACCTGAGTTTCTACTTGGATAAGTTGGCCTTGTGAAGAGTTCCAATTATAATGAAGGTAGTTATAAGGAGAAGTAGTTGCTCATCTACCTTCTTGCATTATGAGGAAGGCAGGACAGCAGGACAACCTTCTAGGTGATAAGAGATGTGTGCTCCAGTTAATTTGTCTGCTGAGTTGCTAGGCAATGAAGTATATGAGTTTTGGCCTACAACTCTAGGCAAATTCTTTCATTAGGCAATTTATCTGCCATTAGACAAATTACAAATTAGGAATTCTCTAGAGAGAACCCAATTTTTCACCCAACTTAAAACTGTGCATCCCTTACTTGGAATGCTTACCTTTGGATCTCGAAGGAACAGAGCCTTAAGGATCAGTGAGTGGACATCCCCAATTCGTGGATAATGCATCAGAAGGCCAAGACAGGTCTGGTAGTTACTAGAGATCACTAAATAAGAGGAAAAAATAATTCAGAAGCAGTATTTTTAAAGACTTTGCAATACTGAGTAAAAATATAACAGATTCAAAGAAAGCAAAGCAATAACTCAACTGATTTGATAAAAGGAAATAGGGAGAAGGGGTCTTTACCAAATGACCTTTGAAGCAACGCACTGTACTTTTAACTGCAATCTAATATACCAGCACCTATCCTCATGGCGTGTTGAAGGGAAAGCCTCAGATATAGATATGTGTGTTTGCAATATAAATAACTGTTTAGAAGCATGGGTATTTACTGCCATTTATATGGCTGTGCTTAAATATCTCCAGTTTTGTTGCTTAGAAATTACAAAAATCTCATGAATGGGAATAAACCAGTTTCAAATTTTCATATAATAATATTTATCCTCATTATTATGCTTCATAACTTATACATTGCATATTCTTTTGTATATATATTACATAATTCAATATTTTAAAAAATATAATTTCTTCCAATTATTTGTTTTTTAAAAGGTAATAAGAAATTTATGGAAATTATCTAAGCAGCACTTCTTGGAGGTAAAAATGTCAAAATCTTCATAGATAAGCCTAACTGTGTGCTTTAGATTGTCGTTTAATTTTTTTTTTCAAATCAACCTAATTATGGATACAATTATTAAACACATCTTGGAGGCAGGTCTATGAAAACCACTTCATTTCTTGGCAATCCATCTGCTGCTGCTGTCATAGTCAGGCCCACTGAGGATGCCTGTTTTGTAAGCCACACTGACTGCTTACACATCACTGGTTGTGAAGGAACTTTATGGCTACAACTTCCTGTGGCTGCAAACGAATCTTTTTTATTAATCAGAGTAGTTGAAAAAAATTTCAGGGGAGAACAACTGCGATTCAACAGAAACAACACCAATCACAAAATAAATAATTGTTATCATCAGAAACACTACTGATTCTTGGATTTCTTTTTTCCCCTTGTGTTGGAAACACCATTTCTTGCTATAGCTTCTCGCCCCTCCCTCTGCCCATGAACATTATGGGGAATGAAGACAGGACTGGGAAAAATGAATAATTATAATCTATGTAAGGAACCACTTTATCATCTTCATTTCCGTTGCTGATCTGACAGCTTGTAATTTCATACATCTGCTTTCATTTGTAAAGTACTCACTTATCCTACCCCTTCTATATCTGTTCCGACTCTCCTTTTCTTATTTGTTCTTTCTGTCATGTTTGCATTTAGTTACCTTTTTTCTCTAGAAGTCAGAAAGCTAGGATACTGGGAACAGTATAATGTTTTCTTGTAATCTTCCTAATAAGATCTAACAAATAAATAAAACTTAGATAACGAATTCATTTTAAAACTCATAGTTACTCTTCCACATGCCATAATGATCATATATTAGTAACTGACCCAGGAAGTATTCTTGTAGATTTTTGAAATGGCTATGGGATAGGGATACAAAGGTGTGGGTTTAAATCCTGAGTCACCATTTGAACCTTTCACAAAAAGGTGCATGAAGATTGAATGACATAATCTATGTGACTTATTTACAGCAGCTGCTCAAAACCTGTTAGAGATAACCTCTCTAAGCTTAAGAGTAGTGATTTGGAAAACAACTTTCTCATTTAAAAAACTATATGCCCACCTCATTCAATTCAATAATTATTTGTTGAATGCCTAATCCACAAAAGGTCCTATGTTAGGAGGGGATGTAGAGGTGAACAAAGCACAGTCCTTACCCTGAAGAAAAGTAAACTACAGAAGGGTAGATGTGTAACAACAAGAAGTTATTACTACTACTATCACTAAGATGATAGTGAATTAATGATGGCTTTCTGAGAGTAGGCCCTATGCCAAGAACTTTACCCGCGTTATCTCATTAAGTTTCTATGATAATCTTATTATAAGGGTACAATTATTATCCCTGTTTTACAGATGAGAAAACTGATACTAGGAAAAGTTATGACATTTGTCCAAATCACACAGCCCTTGGTGTATAACACCAGGTATAGTAAATATTTAGAAATAGGCATAAATTCTTATATTTAGGCATAATTAGCAAATAAAACAAATAATCATGGGTTAAATATAAAACAAAAATAATGAGCTAACAACAAAACCTTAAGTTAAGGCTTTAACATAATTTATTGTGTTTCTTCACTGAAAACAAAGCCAATTTGTGTTAAGTGTCCTGCAAGATAACCAGGCATGCATAAGACATTCAATGAATGCAATGTGCTCTGAAAACATTCTTGTTGAGGGCTTTCTGCATGGAGGAAAAACTGCGTAATTACTATATGCAGTGTCTTCAACTACTTAAAAACCCTTACTATTTTAACTTTCCCAGTTATAAAATGGCAACATTCAAAATGGGCTTTGAATGGACCAGACAACCAGGTGGGGGTAGGGAGTAAATCATAAATAAAAATAACAAAACTTTTATTCTTGGCAGTCTGGGAGAAACCCAAATATAAAATAGGGTTTTATTCTTCTCCATATTAAGTGATTTTCATCTAGTGTTTAAGACCCTCATAAGATTTTGTCCTTGCTGGTCCTCATTTCTCTAGTAGCTTTTGGGTAGAATAACAGAAGACTTTTAAATTAAATTTTTATAAAGAGAGTAACTTCAAATTTGGAGTAGCCCACTCTTTGTCTAGTAAAAGACTTTATTCAAGAATGTACACCTTTGAACACACAGTACTGCCAATTGAAAGGCAGTAAGTAAGCAAGCATCAAGCGCAAAATTGGTGACTAGGGTGGTAGCACTGGAGAAAGATGCAGTATCGGAACAGTCAGAACCACAGCATGTTAACTCCACAGCACCACTGGTACTAGCTGTGAAATTTGAAGCAAACCACTTAACTGTACCGGCTTCAGTTTTCTCCACCATCCCTATCTAATGACCCATCAAGGTAGCGATTTTCACCCTTCTTCATCCCATGGCACACATAAACTAATTACTAAAATTCTGCACCACACCAAAAAAATATGTTTTTTGCTGGTCTGATAAAAAAAATAGGTATAATTTTGATTCACTCACACCAGATGGCTATTGTTGTGTTGGCTGTTGTCATTTTTTTTAAATTTATTTGACAGTCTACGGAGTGCCCCTGACTAAATAGTCAGGTATAACATGTTTTCAAAATTCTTGTGGCACACCAGTGCGCCTGCCTCAGCATGCAAGTTGAAAATCACTACGTTGAGGGAATAAATGGGCCAATACAGTGCAAAAACCTTTTAAGTTTTTTAAATGCAAGTTATTACCATTAATGTAATAATTGTAGGCATATGCTCAGAATCTGGGCCCAAGTTCTATTTCTACACCTATAAAGTGCCATTCAAATGAAGTCTGAAAAAATTAGTGTTGCAAAATTTGGGAAAGAAACTGAAAGCCTGACTCATAATTTTGCCTCTCAACTTTTAATCCAAATGAAGGAAAACAAAGGATATGGCAACTTTTAATAGGTTAATGTATTTATTAACTAGTTAGTATGACTATAAATCTATTGACCTATTTTATTTCTTTACACTTAAGTGATTTTTTAATGCCATACTCAGAATTATAGATCTGTCGGTATAAATGTCTGAAGTATAGAAAGTACTCTAGGAAGAAGTTCTGACAATATGCATTTCTCTTTGTTAGACGTGTATTCACTCATTTAACAAACATTTCTGAAGTAACTATTTTGCTCCTTACACTGAGTTAAGTCTCAAGGATATGACAAGAAGCAAGACACAGTCTCAACTTTCTCTTCATGTTCCAGTGGAAGAGAAGCGTAAATAAAGCTAATGGCAATTCAGGGCAGAGCTGATAACAGTGGCATGTGCTATGGGCTGTGAGGACGTCAGCCAACAGCACATGGAAGCACAGGGAGGCAGGACACTGAGCAGCCCCTATGGCAGGAGGGCAAAAAAATGGGTGGAGGGTTTGCTCATAAACAGGGGATACGGAGTTTAGATTTTACTCTGTCTTTGTTAGCATTCACTGAGAGACTGTAAGTAATGTGGTTAGAGCTGTCTTCCAGTAAGACTGGCGCTGGCACAGGGCGATCAGTGGGAGGGAGGGAAAGAGGACCAGAGGCAGGGGGCCAGGCAGAGCTCTTGGTAACACTGCAGAGGAAAGAACATCTGAAGTGAGGAATGGGAACAGGGGTGCAATGGGCAGAAACTGTTGGAAAACTGGGTAGGTTTTTTAAGTGATTAAATTTGGGGAGTGTGTGCTTATGACAAAGAAACAGAAATGCAATAGCAGACAAGAAGAACTTAAAATATTAACAAATAAGACTACTCAAAGGATATAGCAATTTTTAATTATTTCTTTGTGAAAGTTTTAAATGTAGTTTTTATTTTTATGAAAGTTATGCATGCATGTGTTTAGAGTCAAATCATTCTATTAAATCTGGCTTTAAAAACTGCACTTGCTGTCTCCTGCCCCCATTTTCCACTCCCTAGAAGCACCCTCTTTCTTTTAGCTGATTAAAAAAAAATATTTACCTTCCAGATTGTGAAAAAACATGCAAATGTTACTAGCTCTTATTTTAAATGTTACCGAGTGACTTCCCATTCAAGAAGACCAAGCTTTAACTTGTCTTCAGCATCAAAGCCCACATATCACGCATGCATTCTTTGTCTCCCCGCCCCCCGAAGTTATATCATATCTTTAGTGAGATCAATTTTTAGAGTTTTTATATTTATAACCAGGCAAATGTTAGAACAGCTGAGCAAGACAGTGCATCATGGCTACTTTTCCTTTCTTGAACAGCCTCTTTTCTTTCCTGGAGTTTATAACTGTTTTGTTTTTCATTTGCCTTGTATATATATTTAACATTAAATTAACCTTAAATGCTCTCTTAGTCATATGAATCTTCTCTCCATACTTTTCTAAATTTTAGGTAATCTTTCAATTCTGTGTTTTGTTTATTTTTCTTTTTTTTCCTAGGAAATTTCTCAGGAGGCCTCTGGTCCACTCCCTTATCCTGGGGATGTCTTCTACCTCTTGCAAGTGTTGT